GAATCTCATCTTGCACCTAGGATATCCCTTCTGAGGTTGTGTTACTACAGTATTCTGTGTGCCGCCTGCTCTTGCCAATTGCTTTTTGCCAGGTCATGACCATCTGTTAAGTCTTAAAAGTAGATAAAACCCTGCGTAAGTTCCGAATTTATCCCCACTTTTAATTAAGTTATTAAACTTCTATTAAATCAAATAAATTTATTAATTGCATTTGGGCCTTCAGACTAAACCCGACAAAAATTCATCCATTCAATCCGTCATCCGGACCCTAACTCGACTCTTAAACAACGAGTTAGAGTCTAGATATATTAATCTGTAATTCATAAATAACTTCTATTATCAATCCATACGGATCACGGGTTGGATTAGGGTCAACCTGTTGGTTAACAGGTTGACTCATTTATTTTATTATTTATTATTATTTTTAAATATTATACTTATCATCCTTAATTAATTTTCTTATTGATAACTCTTTCCATTAATTCATACTCCCTAATTTCTAGAGAAAGAAAAAAAAAATTATGATAAGTTTGATCTAATTACCCAAGTATTATTATTATTTTTTTGTATTAACAATTACCCAAGTATTATAAATGAAATGATAATGCAACTAAAAATATTAAAAGATGTGATGTTAGGATATAAACATAATAACTTAGTGAAAGACGTTCTTGGAAGAGTAATTTCATCATTAAAAAAATGAATTAAACTACTTAATAATGTTTCAAGATGATTATAAAATTAAAACTTTATTTTTTAAGAAATTTAAATATTTTACGTTTAATATTTTTATTTTAATCAATTTATTATTATTTATAACTTTTTTATTTTTTTTCTTAATCTAAATATTTGTAATTGAAATTATAAAGTATTTAGTGTTAATGAATAACAATATTTTAATTAAATTTAGATATATATAATTTTATTTGTGTATAATAAAATTAACGAAAAATAATTATAAAGAATGAAAATAAAGTTAATCGTCAGGTTGACTCGTAACCCGTTAGGTTCGGGTTAGGGTTGGATGTTTCTAACCCGCAATCCGTTTATAACCCAACATGTCACCCGAATTGACCCGACCCGAACTTGACTTAACACGCCCATTTGCCAGGTCTACTTCAGACCTAATAGCATTAAATCACGTTCAAAGTGTATTCTCCTCCTCGAAGCAACGGTTTCAAATCCGGTTACTTATAAATTAGTTCAAAAAAAATTAATTAGAGTAATTTAATTTTTTATTATAAATTGAATAATTATTTAAATATTATTTATGTAAATAAATTATTAATATGTTATTATGTATCTAATAAATATTAATTTTATTCACATAAATAAGAGACAAATAAATATTAAATTATTATAAAAAAATTATATTTTTTAAATAAACAAAATTATATATGGAAATAGTGCCTACCATGCTATCAGACTTACCTTTTAAATATTAGGAGGAAAATTATTCCAAAACTACGTCGTTTCAATAAATTTTTATTGAAAAAAAGTTAAATTACTTTATTTTTAAACCATGCATTAAGGTGATTTTTATCTATTTTTTTCTTAATTTTTTGAAGATAAAACGGATAAACACTAATATCTTTATATATATATATATATATATATATTTTTTGTACATGGGAGAATTTGGAGGGGGTTGATTTTACGAATATTAAAACTGAATTCTTAATCTTGATAAACCTATATTCTATCCAACACAATCAATGCTGTACGTGTAAATTTGCAAATAAATCATTTCTTTTAATAAAAATTTAAAATTTTACTATAAAATTTGGGGTAACTTGAGGAGCCTACCAATATAGTTTTGCTTAAGAAGTATACTTGGATTTTGTCTTTTTAAAAAAAAAAATTTAATGAGATAAAAAGAAAATAAATACATTTTGATATTAAAAAGAATATGATGACGAACTAGTTTAAATTTTATTTTTATTAAATATCTTGTATTGTTATTATTAGAAATTATGATATTTTTAATATTAAATTTTTTTATAAATAAAATTTTTAAATATTTAGATGTATATATTGAAAATTTTTTGTGGATTTCTACTAATCGTATTTTGTTTTCAAAATTAATTCAAATGAAAAAAAAAACTGATAAAACCCAATAAAATTGGTAATACAAGTGGATTTAGATTTTATCTCAATTTTATATAAAGTAATATGAATATATGTAGGGTTTGAAATTAAAAATGGTTTAATTGATGGTGAGTCCAAAAAACTATTATAATGAGTTATATTTTTTTTCTCCTTTAGAAAATCCTACTTTTATAAATAATAAAGTTAAAAAGTAGTATAACTCATTAATTGTCACTATATAAAAGTTCAATATAGAGAGGAAAACTTAAATCTCAATACCATTTTATGTTATGAGATTTTAAACTATAATGATTCTTGAAATTCTTAAATAATATATTGATTATAAAAATTCATATACACAATTTATTTATTTTATTAAAAATATCTCTTTTTTATCTTTTACCTCATATAACCGATTTAAATTTAAAATATTTTATTTTTATTAAAAAATTTATTATTAATTTATTTAGTTCGGCTTGCAAAAGAAACTTTATATTACCGCTGGTCGAAACTTTATATTACCGCTGGTCGCAACTTCCTTTGCATAAAGACTTGGTGATA